AGGCTACTGAGGAACAAACTTTCTTGCCAGACTTTGTTCTGTGTGCATCTTCCTAGGAGAAACATCCCCCACAGCAGCAGAGCACTGATACCCATGTCTTGCTGGATGTTACATGTAACATGCTCTTAACTGGCACTGACAAATGGATTCTGCAGACACACAGAAATCACCAAGTTTTTCAGGCAGTGTACGTGAGATTGGTGCCAAGAGAAGGAGTGCAAGCCAGAGGACAAGTGAGTGAGTCTCACACTAGAAGCGCGGGACCTGGTGTGCCTATATGGCAGCTGTATGCTGAGCTGGTGCAAACTACTTCTGCGCAGATAATTTCATTTTTCTAAAGATACTGCCCACACATTTCTGTGTCTTCTTCCTGTATTTTCTGCTCTATGTGTTAAACCAAAGTCAGTTTCTGTGCCTTCTCTGATGCAGCAACTAAACTTTCTGTTTAGAAGGATTTTTTAAATCCATCTCTTGCATCTGAGCATTGCTCACTGATCCCTCCCCAGCTCAAAACGCAACATTAGGCTTGAATATTCTTTTCGTTAATTCTGTGCATAATGTGTATTAAGTAAAGCTTACTCTTTTCAGACAGTCATTTTCCTTCCAGCAACACAGAAAATAATGACAGAAAATGCCCTGCTTTAGATGGCTCTTGTAACAAAATATTTCTATAAATGTAACCTATGCAAGCTACAACTTAAAAAACAGCAAAGGCTGCAAAGACTTACTCGTCACTAAACAAATATTTTTAATGTTCAAGTCAACTTGAACACTGAGAAAAAAAAAAAAGCAAACCACACTGAATAATTAATGATTCTAACAATACTCCGTGCCATACTTGGCAATGCTATAATCATTGAAAAAAAATAAAAAACAGATGGAGAAAACCTTAAGAGCATTTCAATTTAGTAAATTGAAGACTAGACTGGACATACAATGCAAACATATTTCAAAGCTAAGTGAAATTTGTAAAGAAATATTACTGAAAGCAAAGTTAAGCTCTTGCAATCAAAAATGCTGAATAACAAACAAACTGTGCATTAAAATTCCTGTAGCAAAGGTGACATATGGCAAAACTATAGCTTTACAGCTGGTCCTCTAGGCCCATCAACAAGCATACTCCAGAAATTACAGCGGCAAGCCTCTCAGCTTCCATTTGTTTTATGTGAAGATGCTATGCCCCTGGAATACAGGGCAAAGACACTAGTCACTCCCTTACTTTTTGTATGTGTGTTTTCAGAGGCAGAAGCCTGGCAGAATCTACTTTCACTTCCACACAGACAAATATGTTTAAGGCAGCACTGTGATTGCTTGGATTGCATGCAAACCCAGTGTGCAAAGGGATGTTGCTAAAGTTGCCAAGGTGGGCAACTCAGAGAGCAGGAATTAGAAACAACCACATCTTAGGTAATATTTACTTGACACATTTAGTTGCAACATCTCTGGCCATATAAGGATAAAAATATGCAGAGCTCTATGCTACTGAACCTAAATTGTGTCTGATATAACACTCAGTCATTTGATGCCAACTGTGGGGCACTAATGTATACTATTGCAATGTAAAATGTCAACATATCTTTATAGAAAAGGGAGAGAAAGAGTAGGGTTGAACCACACCTGAACCTTTTGGCCCTGCAGTTACAAATGACGCGTGGATTTCACTAATGATCTACCCTATCATTAACCTAAGGACTGTCTTTCAAGTAAATTCAGGGTGCCTCGAACTGTTCATCAACAGAATTCAGAAGTATTTCGACAGGACTGCCATTGGTTTTCTACCTTTGGAAAATCAAGGTGACATATGCACAATATCATGGTCACTGTAGGAAGTCCAAACAGTTCGGTTCAGACACAAGAAGAAAACAGCTGAAATTGTTTGGCAATTTTCCAAGTCATTACATGAATATTTGAGTAATTGGATGTATGCTTCACGAGTTGCACATGATCAAAATGAGAAGAACTCATCTGATCTGACATTTTTACCATGCTTAATTTACACCAGCATTTTCCATAAGGAGCCACTGGCAAGAAGATTTTAGGCCCCAATCATAGAGGTAGAACCATTGTTCACAGCTCCCCCTTACATGTTTCAAGCTTTTTGTGACTTCCTGCAACTAGATGGCTGTGTTTCAGCTGAAAGTACACTAGCCAGTGCATTTATAGCTAGTGAAATGTGTTCAATGAGTACAGCTTTTCCAAGACATGCTATTTCCTCAACCCAAAGCCATTCTTATTCACTTTGTGCTTTTCCTGACACCTTGTCCAACTGTCCTCATCTTTTATCCCCTTCTTATTTATTTCATTTTCAGGGAATCCTTATGTCTTAGATTACAGTGGTATAAGGCAATTGAAAGGGGGAGCAGAATTAGTTCATTTTATGAAGAGTTTCTCTCAATGTTAAAACAGTGGGAATGGCTAAAATACTAAAGCGCTAGATTTATGCTAAATAATTGTACATTAATTTACAATGTTCTATAATGTGATGAAATGGTGTGAAACTAAACTTCCTGATTCAACTCTACTTAATCCAAAAAAGATTTACAAGAATGAAAATGACACCCTATACTTAATTAATTTGAAGTGTTCTGTGCTTAAAAAGCCACAATTAAAAAAAGAAAAGAAGGGGGGGGGACGGGGATGCGGAATTTTTTTTTGATCAGAATACTTAACAGACTCCATAAAGATAAAACATGAGCAAGGTGAAAACCAGTTATGTCTGGAAGCAGTAGCTATAGCAGCATATCCACTTCTGAACATAGGAGGAATTTAAAAATTAAAATACGTTGGTATTTGTTACTGTCATAAATGCTGTTGAACTACCCAGTATTTAAATTAATAATTTAAATGTTTGCCTAATGAACTGGACTTGATTACATTACGGCATTCTCAATTTATTCTGACAGATCATCTCCCCTGAATTAGAATACAGAACCAAAATGGTTTATGGATTCCTGGTCAAAGTGTTTACTGAGTGAATATTTTTTCAACAATTAAAAATAGCTCTGTTCTAAAGCAAAACTGCTTAAAAAGCAATGAGTGAAAAACTTAGGAAAAAAGAAATGTAATAACAAGCAACTTCAGAAAATTCCCCTCTTTACCATCATGTGAGCTCGAAACTGGCAGGGAAAGTAAGTGGCAACAAGAAGTGACAAGTAGTGGAAGAGACATGCTAACTTTGGCAGCTATTAAAAGCAAGTTAAGAGGTTAGAATTGGCTGATATATAACCCTTCATAAAATCATACAGGAAGAAAACTGGAAGCTATGAAAAAAATAGGAAAAAAGAATAAGCTGTAGATCCCTGTCATGCTACTAAGAAATCAATGTACAGCTTTGTTTCAAACCAATAACACAGCGAGACAAAGTGAGCCTCAGCACTGTACCTAATTCTTTATTATTTTATTAGGCTATTCAATCTGTTCTTCACTGCACTGAACTGGGCAGCTTGTTTCTTAGGTGGTTTAAGTATTGGACTAAACACCTTACACTAAAGTGAGGTTTCACTTCACTTCAGAGCAGTTTACAAAAAAAATCACAAGACCTTGAAAATGCCATGCAGGTCTTTGATTTTATAAAGAAATGAAAAATTTTCACTGATCAGAAATGAATTTTCATAATGTATGTTAACACTGTTTCCATCCTGTTGTCTGTTTTATCTATATAACAGTGTGTTTTTGATCAATCTCTCTCCTTTAAACATTACGTTTTTTTGTTGTTGTTTTTTTTTTTTTTTAAACACATTTAAACATCAAACATGCATACTAGGACTGGGGTGAGGGAAAATTACAAATGGAAAGCAAGGAGATGAGCAACAATTACTCATTAGCCACATTAGTGTTAGGAATGAACAAGCCAGTGCCATGATTGTAGCTAGGAAGGCAATAGTTTTGATTTGAATAGGATAGTTTTGATTTTCAGGAAAATTATTTTTTAAAATAATTCTCCAAATATTTTAGATGCAGGGAGGGTAGCAGTAGGACATAAGTATGCAAATCTAAAATAATGCATAGAGAAAATAATTGCATGAAGAGAAGTCAACCTCATCTCTTGTCTTAACAGTATTTTTTCCCAAGCTTTGTATTTTTTTTCTGTGCTTTTCAGAGGGAACAGCATCCTTATACCTCTGTTAAGAGTTCACAAACTTATGCAACTGTTCACATTAAGTCAAAACAATGAGTTCTCATTAATTCCATCTTCATGATAGTTGGGATCATTAAAAAGAAAAAAGAGGAAAAAAAAGATTACATTCCGATTTTATCCTTTGTGAACTTTTAGGAGAAAAGGAAAAATGGCGCTAATATTGAGCCACAGCTGTCTTTCCACTACCAGACAAGTAGCCATGTATTCTCATACACATTTAAAAACTGAGATTGCGTAGGGAGGTGGGGAAGTATGCTGGAGAACTTTCTGTACAAGAACATGCCACCTCCTACTCACATATTCTGTATCATTCATCATTCCCAGCTCTGAGCTTATTGTGGGTTTGCAAAAAGGAAGCTTTTCTCATCATTATTAATTTTCCTAGATGTTTTCATCTGCATATTTCTGTGTCCTTGAGAAAGAATTCACTCAGAGCACATCTCTGTCAATACCATGCTGTCAATCTGGATAACTATCATTCAGGATCTGCTAAACTGGTGATGGCTACTCAAATATTTCACTACTGCAAGACACAGTAACGACCATTTCATGGAGACAGAGATTAGGCCAAATTTGGCTCTGGTTGCATTTTATCTCACTGGGGAACCTGACACATGGTGTCTTATCTCTGGCAGACCAAGAAAGCACAGCAGAGAGGCACTGAGAAAGAGATTTGGGTACTGAAAATTCCACCGAGATTTCTAAGCGTCAGAGCGGAAGAGTTTCAAAGCATAAAAGGTGCAAAACATTTGTGACTTGCATGAGGCCAATTCATAATTTTTAGGCACTCCCTTACCATTTCTGGGATATTCTCAGGCTTTAACTCTTTCTGCTTGTTAGTGTGTGCGCAAATTAAGTTTACCTTGCCATTAATTCGAGTCTGGAACAGATGTTCTTCTGATGTTCATAGACACTGCAAGCACAATTCATGTGTCTTGAAGAGCTTTTATCTGCAATCATCTGTACAAGCAGAAAGATGGTCGTGGGTTAGCAATAGAACCAAAATTACTTTTCATAGTATAATTTATTTACATTAATTATTAAAAACATATATAATCAATTATGATACATTTTTCCTTGAAAGAACTAAACTACACTGTGTTAAAGAGCATCAACTTTTGTCTTCTCCATTACTTGTATTTTTACATATCTCAATATTATACTCAATTCTTTAACTTGCAGCCCAATTCATCACTACAGTATTTTACAAAATCTTCCTAATCACCTCGGAAAGAGTGGATTTTTTTGAACAGTGATTTTTTGGAAATTTTACACAGTGATCAATCTGAGAAAAAAGCAACAGCAAAGAAACAAAACCAACCAACCAAACAAACAAAAAAACCCACAATGCTTAACACATAGGGAGAAATGGTTCAGTTAACATTTATTTTAAAGTTAAGAGCTACTTCTGAATGACAAAATTTGTAGCTATCACTGAATGCTGTACAATGATTTTTATTCCCCCCCCTAAGAAACATAATAATTTGGAGACATGTGCGACATTTTCTATGAAAAAATGAGGAACTCTTGGATGCTTAAAAATAGTAACTTCCAGATTTTAAAAATTGCTAAAATTGCTCACAGCAAGAGCAGTCATTTAAGGATTTGTAATGCAGAAACTTCAATGGTAAATCATATGAATAGAAACTAAATATGCATCACTGATAGGTGACCTTTTACTTATAGCAAACAAACAAACAATAAAGAAGTTTAATCAGACAACAAGAATTCAATGTTTTTAAAAGTATAAGAAAAGCCATAAATAGCAACAGAGAAAATGGAAAATCTGGATAATTTTTATAGAGAACTTTGACATGTCTTGGGAACTATTGTTCAGCATGAGTGGAGATTTATCACAGAAATGTTTACTATTCAGTTTGCAAGAGGCCAATGCAGTGTTTATTGCATCCTAATGTAGAAAGGTATCAAGGAATAGGACATGCACATGCGCACATACAGATAATGCATGATTTCAACCTTATGTTAGCACAATTTCATTGCGAGCACTCATTTTATCAGCATAGAACTAGATTAAACCAAAAGTAAACCAAGAAAGTAATACACCAACCACAGTTTAATACTGTCGATTATTTCCTTTTAGCTTAAATGAAAAATGGGGGTATTTTTTAATGAAAGTACTGTTACTTTGTGGGTCTAACTTTGGAGTCTTTCCTTTACCAAAATACAAAATAAAAGATACCTATTGCTTGCAGGAGTTGACCTTTATTTCTCAATTTCTGGCATATTTTCCACATTAAAAATAAATAAATAAACATTCTAAACAACTCATTATTATTGGTTTTTATCAAAATATTCCTCCTATTTTTAATTGTACAGATAGCTAGCTGATGAATAACTACCATTAGGAGATTACAATAATCTCATTACTACTGAGTCAATGGCAAAACTCCAGCTGACTTTAAATGAGTCAGCATTTTGCCTGTTCCTGCTGATTTGCTGATATCTATTTCTAACACAAACTATTCATTCACACAACAGATAACATCTATTAATCACCGGCTAATCATAAAGGTATGATTAGAGAATTAACATCAACAGCACAACTATTTTATTTAGTTTAATGTTTTCTTACTACTTAACTATACGAATTCTTTGGAGAGAGTTTTGCCACATAATCAAACTAAAAAAAATGCTGTACAGTTTCAATTAGAGTTTTACTTTGGTTAGTTCCAAAGTCCAAGTCCAGCAGTATGTATGACCAGTTTTTTTTTTAAAACACTGTGCATTCGTTAGCTTCCAGCTCCACACTTAGAAATGCTGGAGATTAAAACAGGAAACAAAACAAAACAAGAGCTTCTTCTAACTACTGGTGAACTCAAGGTATTTGAGATGTGAACTGATGGATGCCCGGCACTTCTAAGAGTCTCAGTCTTTGCATGTGGAGCTCAAAAAACACTGGCATGGGTTGGTGAAATTTTGTGAATCATTGTGAGTGCTGATTGAGCACTTTTGATAGAAATCAACCAACCCAGGTTTTCAGATAAGCAAGAAACAAGAATCAATAAGAAACTAGGCTTAGAGTGTCAAAAATCTTTGACAGATTTTTATTTTTTTTTCATCCAACTTCATATTCTCTGTACACTCAAGCTCCTATGTTTTAGGTGTGCAAGGAATGCAAAATCAGAGCTCTGCTGTATTCTTTCCTATTTATCCTCCCACAATCAACCTACTGAAATTCTGCACTGCCATCATGGTGCTTAAACCCTCTCTCATCCCCCTGTTTTCCATTTCAACAATGACAGAGCTATTTCAAAAGCCAACTCAACATTGAAAGTTAATACAAACAATTTACAAAGACATAGTAAAACTGAAACGTCTGTTTTCTTCTTTTGTTTGTAAACTGCGTTCAGTATATTCTCTTAAAGACACATTGCAGAACCAAAACTTCTCCTTAGTTTAAGCTTTCAATTTAGTTTTCTTTTGTGGACTCCCCATCATACTTAGTTACAGAAATGTATGCTGCACTTGTATCTTCATTTGACTTGATTATCAGTTTAATTTATTTTCATAGCACTTTGCAAAAGCTTCTGCTTAGGCATGACAATTTAGAAATTCTATTTGACAGTTCCTTTCTGTTTGATATATGCATAACTCAAAAGTAGCAAATACTTGGCCATTTTTTAAGCTTCCCTTAAAAATATGATGGCATCAAAACTGTATATTCTTGTATATTCTTCACTACCCACTGCCACCTACTGCAGAATTAGGAGCAATGCAAATAGACCTACTTTTGAGAAACTGAAGTTGAATTGTAAATATAAACCAAAATGCTTAGTGTATAATCTATGCAGATATATGCAGCCATATATATGCATTATGGACTTTTTTAGACCTGAATGGAGTAGAATGGTAAGAATAACGAATGGTTAAGCAGTGTTAACTTAAATGTAAAAGCTAATTTTTTGCTCTGAACAGGTGGCACTTTTTTCCATACATAATTAGTTGTACTGGTTCTAAAACATTTGTATAAATTATTGGGTTTTGTTTTATGTTTATTTTTCAATTTAAAAATCCTTTGAAGTAGTCACCCTTTCTGTGCTTCTTTAGAATTTAATGCATTTGATCTCTAAAATGTAATTGCAAATGTGAAACTACCCCAGCTGAGAGAGAGCGGTACAGCTGCTCAGCCATGTCTTTTCAGCAGCTGAATTACTTTCTAGGACTTAATGTCAAACAGCAGAGGTTACTTTGGCCCCACATACATGTAATTTTAGGTTTATTTTATGTACTCCAAGAAACTAAAACCAAATTTGCTGAGAGTTAAACAGACAGCAATTTTAAATGCATTTTTAGGTTGTCAGTGTTCCAACTTTTTGCTTTCTGAACTGTATCAGTGCAATTAGCATATCTGTCTATTGTAATAAGGAAAGCTTATTTCTCTTATAATTTTTTTGGGGGGAAGCGAAATGATTTAAAATGAAAATTTAAATTTTGTGGCAAAACGGGTATCCCTAGACTTCAAACCTACAATCTATATTATGTCCAATATTTTCTTACTCTTCAAAAACATGACAAATTATTTCATTTCCAAGTCAGTACTTTTCTGTAGGAGGTGTATTCTGTCAGATAGAAGGACATAAAAGATTTCTGTTTCTAGGCTCTGCGCTGGAATACATAGCCATTTTGACTTTTTGTAAATGGCTTTGTTTTTAACTGCTTCTCCAGCATAGAAATTTTAAAGGAGATTTTATCTTGCATGTTTAAGAAAATGATACGTCTTATTGCTCATAACAGAGTATAGTGATTGTCAATCACATGAAGAGTACCTACATTAAAGCTGCTTCTTGTGTTTAATGACTAATGACTACATCACCAGTATCTCAGGTAAGAAATTGCTGTAGACCATAGCCTCTGACTACAATTTTTTTTTTTTAATCCTTAAATGTGGAAGATAAACTATTTGCTTGCTTACATAAACAACTAGGTCTTTAAATGATACTTGAAGGGATGGAAAGGATACGTTACAAATACCCTTTTTTAATGTTCGTGATTTTATGCTTGTTATGGCTACAGACTCCTACAGGTTAAGAATAATAAAAACATGTATTGTATTAAAGATTTAAAAATCATTATCTATAAATTCCAGTTGCAATTTCCTCTCAAACTGAGATTTTTGGTTGGACACAAGAAAAAGGAATTATTTGCATGGTATCATGCATGAGACTACAGTTTTAATTATCAGAATTCTAAGTATGTGGCAGGTACACACTTTTGAGTAAAGAGGTTTTGAACATAAATGTTTCTTCTATTCAACAAAGCAGAACTAGTAAAGACTATTTAATAGATTTGAGTGAGTAATGTTAAGACTACAGTAACTTGAAAGAAACAAGAACATGTACACTAAAGCTTAGTCCCATTGGGCTCAATGAAAACTTTCCTCTTAACATCAAAGAAATCAGGATTTGGCCTTTATGTCAACATTAACCCCTGTGCCTTAGCTTTCCCACTGGACTTTGCACAAAGCAGTAGGTCTGCTGAATGCATGTGGTAACAGTATACATCTTTGTGCTCAACACATCAGAAAATTGTAATTTTTACCTAATTGTAAGGTAATGACCTTGCATAAAGCTGGATTATTTTTTGTTATTGGGGGCATCAAAATAGTCTTGCTTTATATTTTGTATTATTAATTTATCATATTTTTCACAACACTTCATGTAAAGCAGCATATAATGAGCAATACTGAGTCCAAATTCACACAAATACATGATTTACATACTCAGATTCACAAATTTGCCATCAGGAAGAGTGATGGGTTCCCTTCTCTTTCTGGTTAATATCAATGGTAAAGGGTTATACATTCCACATAAACATTCTTGGGGTTGCTCGCTATTCTATTGTCCTTTTTGTGAAATATGACTAGAATGGCCAGACCTCAAGACAATCTCCCTCCTTGTCCTTTCTTTTCACAGTCTTCCACCAGCCACAAGCCCCAGTCC